CTATATCCTCCTGATACTTCGATAATATCCGAGCAATGATGTAAGCCGGGGGGAGGGCTGCATGTGATTGGATAGGGTGAGGAAGCCAGGGGGAGGGCTGCATGTGATTGGATAGGGTGAGGAAGCCGGGGGGAGGGCTGCATGTGATTGGATAGGGTGAGGACACCTGATTGGGGAGGAGGTGACAGAAAAGACGAGAGAGGGTTTGTGGCGTTTTGGCAGCCTTGTTCACACCAAGCGCGGAGCAGGTGCAGAGCTCTGGATCTGCAAACACATCAAAAAACGCATGCGAATGCCTGGAACGCACTGAAAGCCCATTTTAAACTTTAAAAAAAAAATATATATAAACGTGTCAAAACGCATCTAAAAGACTAGCGTGCCTGTGCAGAAATCTGAGCGGATCTGCTCTGCATTTGGTGTGAACGAGGCCTAACGCTTTCGATGTGCTGATGGATTGCTGCAAGATGGCCGTGTCCGATGTACGTGGGTAGTGAAGATCTATGAATGTATTTTGTTGTACGGAAATCCGATTAAATGAGAAGAAAATCGACTTTTTAGGAAAACATTTTTGTGACTCCGCTTTCTGCAACGCTTCAAAGGAGAACTCCGGGCAAAACGTATGAACCCGTGCAGCTGCCCCTGCACTGCAAGGGTTAAGTGCTTATTTTTTGTCTTCAGTGCTAAAATAGTTGTACTCATCCGATCCTCAGACCCGGCTTGTTCTTAAGGTGCCCATACACCTTGCGATTTATCGTACGATAATCGCGGGAAATCCCGCGATCGTACGATAATCGCAAGGTGTATGGAAGGCGTGCGACCGTTTCTACTGTACGGTCGCACGTCTTTTGTCTAACGAGCATGCTCGTACGATCGTCGGCGGGTTTGTGGCGTGCTCGGGAGACAAATGCCGAACGGGCCGGTGCGCACTGCCCGTTCAGCATTGCAGTCATCGGAAACCCGCCCCTCAAGGGGGCGGGCTCTCGATGATCGCAAGTACAATCTGCCCGTCCAAGATGGGAAGAT